GAGCAGTTTTTAATATCTATATAAAATGATAATGCTGCAACGTATTTGAAATGTGCCAGGAAACTGAAGTAATTTGATCTCTATCATATAATCAAAATTACCTCTTTAACATGCCTAATTGAACTGTATAGCACACTCTGCATGTACTGCAGTAATTTAAAATACCACTGAAGCTTAATTGCATTGTAAGCAAAAACTTAAGTCTAAAAATAAAATTATAATTGGTAGAAGTTTGTGTGTTTTATTGCACTGTTGTTTGTTTTACCATTGGTTGTAAATATAGTAGCTTTTTCAAGTACAGCCCATTTAAAGGAGGGGGGAGGGAGGGTAACATCTTTAGGAATAACATATGGTTGTTTGTGACCTACAAAACTGCAATGAAAATCCAGGCACCAAATACATGCATGGTATCATCATAAGTTATTGCAGTGTTCTCATGAACCTTCCGTCACTTCTCCATGGCAAATGGTGGAGTTGAGCTCTGTAACAGCATCTTCACTTGTTCATTTGAAATTAGGGTGTTTATTTATGGTGTATGAACATAAATAGCATTTTACACCTTGTAAAGAATTGATCATCTGTATGTTAGACAGGACTTCTGGGTTTTTTTTGGACCACAAACAGGAATATATTTTATCATTACAACGTGATGCTGTGAGTCAAGACTCAGGTCAGTGCGCTCAGAATTGCTGCCAGTAAAACAGCACTGAATTTGTTCTTCTATGGGTGCTAACTTTTATATTCACAACTTCTGTTAATGGTAGCCAGAGTAGATTTTTGAAGTTCAGACATGTGGGTACTGTTGCAGATTTTGTAACTTAGAGTAGCAACGTTGCATAATTTGAAATTAACACATACTATTCATTTTAATTCCTTAAATCATATTCCTCTCCCCCCAGTAAAGGACTACTAAATGAAAGGTTGATTGATCACTGTGTTATTTTGAGACTAACTGAACTTACCGGTCAGAACCATTAGCAGCTTTTCACTGTGGCTCCTGCCTCATCTTATTGGCTTACAGGAGGCTGTTGTCATGTTGTTACCCCATAGGTAAGCAAAAGAAGGGGCTGAAATGACGTTTTGTGAGATGGTAGAAGAAATAAGAAAAGCTGCAAGCAGCACTGCTGCATGGCATAGATGTCCTCCCAAAGGTGGGACAGATCTACAGTGAACAGTTGATTTTGATATCCATGCAGCTCAGTGGGTTTCACAAGCATATCCCCTGGGTTTGCTGTACTTTGATAGAATGTGTGATCTCCTTGAGTGTTGTGGCTGGCTGTGAAGGCCTTGGAGAAGTCCCTTCCTAAAGCAAAATATTCTGAAACACCCTAGCATGGCTGTTGTGCCCATAGTGCATCTGCTTTGTTCCTCTGTGAACACTTAGCTGAATGTGTCTGGTGTACAAATCACAGTGCAGCTCCCACTTGAATGGTGTGTTTTTCCTTGAGAGCACCACCCACAGCGATGTTGCTTTAAACTGAGAGATGTGATTAACTGAGGAGCTGAGAAGTTTTTAAGCTTTACCGGAAGCTAAAATGTTGCTGTTGGTTTATTTCTGTGGAGTTTGGCAGTACGTTTTGTCAAGAGTAAGGCTTTTCCTTTTGATACCTTTACTTTCTGAAATAATGGCAATAACAGTTAAGCTGTTGTACTAAAAATTTGAAGAAAATTGTAACTTTTCAGTGATGGAGTATTTCGTAATTGTTAGCTTCCTCTTATTCTTCAAATCTCTCAGATAATTAATAATGGAGAGATGTGGCTTTAATAGCTGCAATAAAAGAAACCAAATATTAGTGTGGTGCAGTAGCTTTCTGTCTTTAAGTTTATACTCCTTATGGTAGACGATTTCTGTAAGTTTCAATGGCTGCTAATAAGAGCTCTAGTAAAAAGATAAAAAAGCATTGAGTGTCTGTAATACAGCTGTATTTACAGTGCTGCTGCTTTCCAGTTTCTTTATTGCATAGGCAGTGGAAGACTTGTTTTGTCACCCCATTGAAAATGCCATCCTCAGGAGCAGTTTCAGGTTTAAATTTACTGCTAGCACCACTTGACGAACTCTGAAGAGTTGCATGAAGACAGCAGCCTTGTATATAACATCAGAACAGTTCTAAAGGAGCTCTTGTAATTAATCTGACTTTACAACCTATTACATCTTATCTTCATGTTTATTTAAAAAAAAAACACACACACACACAAAAACCCCACCAAAAAGATGAGCTGTCAGAGTTATATACTGAACAAGGGGGATTTATGTTGGCACAGCCTCTGTAGGTGATTTTTTCTTTTTTATTAGCAAGCTAGGCAAGATATAGTATGCAGTAAAAGTTTTACTGTGCTCTCCTGCTATTGCTTTCAACTTCTTTTCCTTGTATTTCAGATGATTGTGATATAATTGTAGTCATGATTTAATATAATAAAACAAGGTGTAAACTTGTAGTACACTCAGTATGGACATTGGCACTTTGTGAAATTGAATTGTTTCAGAGTAAACTATCAGGCAACGCAGTACTGAATATTTTGCTGATGGCATTCTGTTCATTGGCTGCACTGAGTTATCTTCAGAATTGTGTTACAATCTGCTAGATGTGCTTTCCTTCAGTTACAGAAAATACGAGGAAGATGGAATAATTCTGGTTGACTGTATTTTATATTAATCTTCTGTCAGTACTGCAGCAAAGCAATTAATACTAGTTCAATAGATACCTGGTTAACATTTCAGTCCTTTTGAATGAAACTGAAACTTGCACTAAAGCTAAGAACTCAGAACAGAGTGGAATATAGGAGTTTTCATCACAGGAAAGAGAGAAATAGGCACTGCTCTGAATCTTTCATGAGAACTTCAAACCTAGAAATAAGTTTATGTCCTGTGCCATCATAATAGTGTTTTATATTCACATCTTTCACTGTGAGTTGTCTGATTCTTGTAATAATTCTAACTACAGGAGAAATAAATAGATTGGAAATCTTGTGTTGTTATTTGCTTTTTTAAATTTTCTTGCTTGACATGTTTTTTTTTTAATAGCTGAGTGACTTAGATTCATTCATTCATTGTGAGCAATTAAATGTTCTCTTGGTTTATAAATTTGTATCTTGAAATTTCTTCTGTTTTATATCGTTTGAATATGTGGGTTCTTGGTAATTCTTAGCCTGTGGAGATTGAAAGCTGTGCTAATTTGGTCAAGAGCTGAGATGTAGTGTAAAACTGAAGCCCTATTTTGGAAACCGTATTTGTAATTTTGAGTGGGGCTGTTGATTTCCATGGGGCTACTTTTGCACTTAAGAACTAAGATATGAAAAACAGAATGTAGTGAAATTTGGATCTTGTGAAATAAAAAAGCAAAAGATCTCCTCCATAACGTAGGAAGAACTGATTTTTTTTTCAAGAGACTCGAGCAAACAATTCTTAAATTTTTGTCATCTCTTTATAACTTTGAGTAAGAAGGTAATTTGATTGGTGTATAAATGTGGCTAGCAGTGATTAGCACAGAACTTGCCCAAGAACTTCCTAATTTGGAGAGCAAATATAGAACACTTCCTTGAATTTATTTAGACAGTAACACAAGTCAGGATATTTGACTGAGACGTGGACCAATGCACTAGCTACATCCTAAGAATAATATCATTTTTCTTACTTAGATTTTGTTTCTGAACAAAATAGTGTTTGTTTCAAGTTGTGTGTGGATATGCTGGGAGGTGTGCTGATAATTGTGCCTGTGTGTGTGTAGACTCAGTCTGAGAGCTTTGTCACTTTCAACTCGGAAGAGCTACTGATGCTATGGAGCTGATTTTTGGCAAGAAGAGAGAGATTGCTCCTCTCTTCCCTCACCAGAGGACTTGGATCCATCAACTGACTGGCAAATGATCCTTGCCTCAGTTGAACTTCTTTTTTTGTCTTTTGGAATTAAGTGACCAAAACTTGATTTCTTGGCTGGCAATTGCATAGTGAAGCTAGTTGGTGTAGACTTCAATTTCTCGCATCTGTGTAGTGAAACCTAGAAGTAATGATGATCCAAACAAGGCTGAGCTGTTGTTTAGATAAACCAATTTGGATGTTTCTTTTCGTATTATAGTAGGCTACGTTTATTTTCAGCTTTGGGGGAAGTTCCAGTTTTCTTATTGCCCTTTGTTTTGACAAAGGAAAATCTTTTGCATCTTCCTTAAGGAAAATGAAAGAGACAAAGCTTGGTTTGTAAGCTCCTGTAGAGAATTTCAGCTTGGTTTGCAGTAAATCACTATCTTCTCACAGATCACATGTTAAAGCTTAGGTTCTTACCTAGATGGAGGGGGGGGAGGAGAAGAAAAGAGGATATTCTGTTATTGGGATTTGTTTTTGTGTATCAATCTGTGAGATATCAAAGCAGGGAATGCTGCTTCAAGTTCACGTAACTCTGGTTCCTGTGGAGCTCTCAAGGTAAATCATGAGTACTGGATCCTTAATTACATGGGGATATGGATGTGTTTGCATTATTGCCTTTGCCAAGGATCTGCCATTTGGATGCCTTCCCTCTGCCTTCAGGACAAATGGAGTTGATGGTGCTTACTCTTTTCTGTTAGTATTTTTGACAGCCATGGAAATACTACATGTAAATGAAGTGGATGTTATGGCTGCTTTTTATCAGTGGCTAACAGTCTGTTTCACCTTTTATTATCTAAAGATGGTGCAGTTTCTAGATGGTGGTCTGGGCAGGTACAACCATTCTGCTGTTGTCAGAGACTGAGGACGTGCATTCAGAATTATGGTTCACAGAGATTCTTTCTAGGACACTATTTGGAATTTAATATTCCTTGCCTTTGATAAAGTAACAGGATGTTTAATTTCACAGGCAGGAAATGCATTGCCTTCCCTTTCATAGTGATGTAAGAGAACACCTTAATAGCTTTTCATGTTGCTATGTTCATGTTTTCATAGTGCTACTGTCTGTGTCAAAGCAGATACAAGAGTGAACAAAAACCAGTACATAGCAGCAACAGACTCAGTATGTTTTAACTGGCTTCCCCAGCTGTGTTCCTGGGGAGCACTTGAATCAAGCTGTGGCAAGTGATCCTGTGGTTCATGGATTATCTCTACAACTGAGTCTGAATCTCACGTTCTGGTAAAATAAAAGATCATCGCAGCATAGGAGGTCAAAACGACAGTTTCAGAAATAAATGCAGAAGACTTCATTGCTTTGTAGATGAGGAAAATTAGGGTAAGTACTTTTTTATTGACTTGTTTTCCGTGAAGAATGAAAGAAATACTGATATTTCATATTATCCTCTTTTTAACTATATCTGTGAATTTTGCAGCAATAGTTCACAGCAGTATTTACTGAAACAGTATCTATTTTTTTCTACTGAAAAATGCAAGACTTTTTCAGCCACTTTTTATTCAGAGTACCTTAGTTTTGACTTTCATAGTATGTTTGCTCTGAAATGAGTAAATCTGATTACATTTAACAGTTTTTAGTCTGAGTTGCTGAAAGGGAGCGAAGTAGCTAAGTTGTTCTCAGCTTTCTTAATGCTGCTATTCTGGTTGTGCAAATTTGTAGTTCTTGAAGGGTAACATTTCTGAAACAACAAACACAGCTTCTTGGATTTGCACAAAGGCAGTGGCACAGATTAGGAGTATCCTGATTTGTAGTTAATCCTCTTCACTTTTTAGTCTTTGTATAGTAAGTACTGTAGACTCAACTACTCCCAAATTTGGACAGTGTATGGGATTGGCTTCAGAGACCTGCAGGAATATTATGCCTGAAATGTAATCAGAACTTGAGTTTATGTAAAAACATTATTTTAGCCACAAGTGTATTATTTCCTCCTGGATGGCAGTACAAGATTGAAGTTGTTTGGGAGCTTTACATATTTTACTAATTTTGAATGTTTCTATTTTTCTTTTCCCTACATTGTTTAACTCTTCGTTCCCCAATTGTCATTAAAAATGACATAGAAATCTCATTTCTGTTATCCTACTTAAGTTTCAAATAGAATCTTGATTTCGGTACTAATTGGAGGTTGATTTTCCTTAAAGTATTTGCATTGTTGCTTTTAAAAGCATACAATTCACTCTCACAGGAAAAACTCAGGTGTGGATATGTAAATTGCTTAGTCAAATGAAGATACAAATAGTGTGTGTAAACATTGAAAACTGTGCTCTGTGTAAATCCTCCGAGATCCCAGTGCTTTTCGGAGTATGTTTGCAATTCTTGGCTCTTCTTTGTTACTAAGAATGTCTTTAAAAACAAGTGCAAGTATAGGAAACTACATTTAGATGGCTAATCAGTGTGAAGTGGGTGGTTAGTTAACACCTCAGTACAAGATACAGGTGCCTTGTTGATATCTGAGTTAAGATGAGAAGGATGATTTTGGTTGCCTACTTTGCAGAATCTCCCTTGTTTCTGTCTTATTTTTCAGTCAGAAGAAAAGCGAGACCAACACCCTGGGTTTCTCACTGTTGGCAGTCCAGTGCCCATTCTGCAGAAATGGAATCTGTTGTTCTGGGAATGGAATAGCTGAGCATCATTAAGGCTACTTTGAAGCTGAAGTTGGACATACCTATAAAACCTTACCCCAGAATAGCACAGAAAATAATAGAGAAGTTTTTACATGAAGAAAATTAAGTATGTAGCTTCTTAGCTTTGCTGGGGAAACATAAGTGGTTTAGGTGGGATGAAACTTATATCAATGTCTGTGATCAACTATGTGAGGCACTGAACATCTAAAGCTTTTGTCACCCAGTCTCACTTTTTAATAGTCAAGTTTGAAAAAGCAATACAAAACAGGAAAACACCACTGGATTTTAGACTGATTTTATTGAGCTTGTAAGATTGAAGCTGTAGGCTGCTGAAAAATACCTGTTAGGTCTTATCTGCAATAGTTACACTGTCACTGATTAGCAACGGCATTAGTTAACATTAATAGTAATTCTGATAGTCGTTTAGAGAGTTTGATTCAGGGTTATAGCATCCTTACAGGACGTGTGATCTAGAAAGCTTCTGAAGTGAGAAACAGAATGATATTCTCTTGTTAGTCTGTAATTTTGAAAATCGCATGCATGCTTATTCCTTTAAATTAACTGTTGCCATCAAGTTAAGTACAAACAACAACGGAAGTGGGTATCCTTCTGTGTGTGCACATCTTCAGATTAAGATGTGTTGATTTTATCCCATTCTTAATCTTTGTTGTGGGTGTTTTAAATAATACAATAACTTCATTCTTTTAAAGTTTCTACCAGCGGGATGTCTTGAAAATGCTGCAAATGAGAAGGATTACAAGTTGTTAGAAACTCTAGCCTTTGTAAGTCAGCTTGGAATGACTAGTGGAGTACTTAAATAGATTGTGTGCTGTTATCCTCCTTACATTCTTTAATGACAATCTATTTTTAATAAATGTGTTTAGGTGGGTTAATTGGAGTTGGTAATAAATCTAGTCTTATCCTAAAGAATACATACTGATTGAAAGTCAACTTGTATATGATTATACGTAATTTGTTTTATTGGCTTTGCAGTTGCAAGAAAAAATGTGTTTTGAAGAATACACAAGATCTGCCTTCCACTCAGTTCTGGAGTATTAGATATTTTTTCTCTTGGTGTGGAGAATTCATTGAAGTTACTTAAGCACATGGTTAAGCTGATGCTCAAATGCAGTGGAAGACTTCATGTTCAGATAATGATGGATATATATTAGCTATGTATGAAAAAGATTCTCTGTCACAATGTAATATCAGTTCTCTTTTGCAGAGATGTTATGAGTTTCGAATGCTGCCGTATACAGTTTACCTGCCTGAAGTTTTGAATGGTTATTTCAAGCTGTTTGTACTTGACAAGTGTGGGCAATGTCCAAACAGCCATCTGATGTCTGTTTCTTTGACTTGGCTGTTAGAAAAAAGGGCCATTCATTCTTTCTCAATCCCTCTTACCTGGCAGAGCCAGTCCTGACTCCAGCTATTTTAGTATTCTCTTTAAAATATTCTCTTTAGTGTTCAGTTTCTAGTATTCTTATGTCTGCTACAAATAGATCTGAAGGATGCGGGTCTTTGTACGAATCCAGTCTTATAGTGTATCTTAAACATGTTATCCAAGTATCTTTGCTGTGCCATCCACTTCAATCAGCATCTGATCTTTTGCCTTCCGTTATCTGTTGATGAAAATGTTTTATGTGCTGTTTGTCTTTATTACCAAATGAGATAAGTACATATGCCATAGTCTCTGGATGTCTCGTAGGGGAAATTATCTTCAGGTTTCATTCTAAATTCATATCTAATGTATAATTAGCTTCATCTGAATAAAGAAAATCATCTTTCTCACTTGAAGCCACAGATTTCCAGGACAGAGAACCTCTTTGCACAGCCTACACGATAGATCTTTTTCTGTATTTTATGATGAGTGAACAAGAGCCTTGAAGAACAGACTTGGCCTCAAGTCTGTAATGGGATCTTAAAAGGGGCAGATCCAGTGCAGATGCTGTCTCACTGTGTTGCTGCTTTGGAGAGGCCCATAAAAGGCTGCAAATCTGAAAATACCCATTAGATAGAGTGGATAGAACAGCACCAGCAGATGTCAGAGCTGCACCCTGGGGTTCCAGTCCTCTCTTCAACAAGCGCTGGTAAATTCTGTTGGAAAGATGCTGCATGTGAAATTGGTTGAGTAGAAGACAGGATCTTCTTATCCAAACAGTGTGACCTTCAGGAATACTCCCTGGAGTTACTCTTGGCGTGGGTCTGCATATATACATGAAGGAGAAAAAAAGTTATTTACCTGTGTCTGCTTTTCTGTGTGTTGTATTGTGTATCTGTACATGCGTGGCAACCTTCTCTGCCTGTTTCTGTTTAGCTGGTAATTCAGTGATTGCACCATAGGTATTGTGGTACTGAGCTTGTTGCTAGGACTTAACTCTTTCCATATCTGCTTAGGAGATATATGTAAGATAAAGTGAAAGAAATGAAATATGAATAGAGTAATTTGGAAGATGAGAGGGAAGTTCATCCATACTAGGTTAGTTGAAGGAGCTTTCTAGCTGTCAATGAAGGTAACTGTTGATCGTGAGGTGGTACATTGCAGGATAGAGCACTGCATGTTACATTGGTGGTTTTGTACTCGTTAAACTTTTTTCTGTTTAAGGAAAAATAGTTCATTTCCTTGAAATCTGATTGGTATTAACTTTTGATTGCCTACCACCAAATACTTAATGAATGCAGAGATGATGAATTGCACAGAGATGATTTTCTTACACGGATTTTTGTGTTCATCATAAGATGTACTTATGATTAAAGCATCAGCCAAGATTGTTACTTACACCTGCATCGTTACACACACTCAGTTGTGAGTTCAAATTCCAGCAGAATTTTATTTGTCACTTACAGCTTTATCTCAGCACATCCACTTTGCAGAGCTGTATCTTTCTCACTGCTGCTACTCTGAAATGCATACGAGGTTTTTTGGGGTATAGATGGGAGGAGTTTAGCTAGTATGAACTATGATCTTCTATGTTCTTATAGTAAATGTAAGTTCACTGTTTATATTTGGTTACAAATAATGATTAATACTGATGATTGATCTCTTCCTAGAGCAATGTTGTATTACTGTAACTGTCTAGACATTAATTCATAAGAATATAATTTTATAAGAACAAATTAATAAATCTCATAATATGCAGTGGTTCACTACAGGCACCGGTCTTCCAGATATGCCTGTATTCATCTTTAACAATATATATCAGGATAAAGTCAGGACAACAGTGATTTAATATTTCATAAAAAATTGAGCAGAGGGGAAAAATTGTGCTTTTGAAGTTAATATAATAAGTAGTAGATTGCATGAACTGCAACTTTTCTGAAAATTATCTATTTTTTTTCCTTTAGGATTCAGAGTTCCCTGTTGATACCCAAGTGAACTCATACCTTGCTCCTGCCACAGAGTACAGTCGACCCCTGAAACATGGAGTGTATAAACTGGAAAACACTTTAAGACTGCATGTCTCAGCAGTGAGCTGGTAGGAGCTGTGAGCAGTACATTTATTTTATTGTTAAATACATGTTGAGTCTTATTCTTTTCAGCAGATCATTCAGAAGCTTTAATTTAACATACATTTTGAGAAACCAGTCAGGGGGAGATTCTCTGAAGAATATGAAAGTGGAGAAAATGTTCATGAAATTTAGTGGGAGCGTAAATACAGGAAAACATATGAGCAGAACTGTTTACAAATTGAGATTCATCTTTGTAAGAAGGGTGGAATTCAGTTAGCAGATATAAAAGTGGGAAACACAGATGTCTGTACAGTCTAGTTCCAGAATGCTGAACATTTTTGCTATTTGTATTTGGTTACAGCTTATTCCCTTGGGTCAAAAATCAGAAGAGTTTAAATTCAGATTACAGCGTGCAATAGCCTGTAAGCAGTGACATTTCAGGGCTTGCTAGCTACAGGCAGAGGGAAAAAAAAAAAGTTAGCACTAGTATGATGATTCCAAGTAGTCTAGTTAATGATTTTTTAAAAAGATTAAAATCATCATTGTTTTTATCTTTAAAGTAATTTCATGTAGCATGATACTTTTCTTACTGTTCTCCAGCTGCTAATAGATTACTTCTGAGGGTGTCCCTGTTTAAAAACAACAACAAAAAATAAAAAACCCAAACAAACAAAAAAAACCCCAAAACAACAGTATTCAGCTTAATTTCCTGTTGCATGTGAGAAACATAATCCAATTTAGTTATGTTTTAAAAGCTTAAAAGTGTGGGCAATTTTCATGCAGGATAGAAGCTTGACAGTTGACTGACCTGTGCAATTGTGAGCATTGTGAAGAAATAAGTTTTCATTATTTAAGCAGTACAGAATAGCAGAGCCAAGTAAAGCAGTGACAGAAATTATAGAAAATGCTTTTTGGGATAGGTAAGTGTCAGGCAAATCTTGTCTGTGAAATTGTCAACAATCTTTATATATATTTAATAACTGTAGTGCAAAGCTCACAGACTTTCAGTTGGTTGCACGTATTTTGTACTGTTTTATTCTAGCTTGACAGGGTTCCTCCTTAGTCTCTCAAATACTTGATTCTTGTTTTCCATCTGGCTAATGCCTAACCTCAAATGCTTAAGGTAATAAGGTAAGCAGTTAGTGCAACAGTGGTGTGTTGGTGGGGGGGGGAAAAAAAAACAAGACTGACAGAGAAGGAAAACCCTTCCACCCTTGCAGGATTTTCAGTGAGCCAGGTAGAATCAAGATTGTTTTAATCTTTCCAGGTTGTTTTATCCCAAGACTTATGCAAGAGGCAACAGTGTAATAGTTTCCATGTTAATGTTTGTCAAAAGTTTCCTTTTACCTACAGTAAAAGTGAGATTCGTTATAAGCTACTTTTGAGTTGTATTGCAAATTACTTGTATTAAAATACATAGTGTGTAATTTTGAGTAGTGATTGCTCAAAAGCTCATCAAGGAAGGACACCTCTACCAAAGTTTTGCAGTTACTGGGTACTTGAACAGAAACAGGGTAAGTGTAATGTGTGTAATGTAAGAATATTCTTTGCATCTCTTATCTGTTTTGAATGATATCTTACGTGTTGCTGAAAGGAATTATTCTAGTTATATCCAGTGTTTCTAGTTATTGCTAGAAGAGATGGTTGTATGTACTGGAAATTCTGAGTTCTTTCCACAGTTAGTAAAAGGATGTCATATACCTTGAGGGTACAATACCACTAATTTACTAGTTAAAAATAATTTGGATGTCTTTAGACTTATTTGGAAACTCTTTAACAACTTGCTTCAAGAAACAGCAACTAAATTAGAAAGGGGAAAAAAAACCCAACAAAACAATTTTGGAGCATTTATTTAACAATATACGATTATATGATATTGACTTTCATCAGTAGGTAGTGCTTTAAGCAAAGTGAGGGCTCGAATAGAGCTCTAAAATGATTTGAATTGCTTGTTTAAAAACATAAAAACATAAAAGCAGGAAAAGCAAAAAACATGTTAAAATGTTCTTGCAAAAATGTAAGCACTATAAACACAGACTGTAACTGAACCTCTCATTTGCTTAGAAATCTCTTTACGAACACAGTGGATTGCAGTTTCTGCATGTTTAACTATGAAAAAACAACATTCAAGACTCCAAGCTGTTTTAATTAAAAAAAGCTGTTCTTGTCTGTATATCATTACTTTGAATCAATCTTTGTAAGTGACTGGACAGAGTTTTTTTTCTTGTCTTGCTAATGCTGAACATTGTATTGTTGCTTTGTTTGGTATCAGCGGGTCATTTTTGACAGTGTCTCCTCTGTAGTATTTAAACACCCTTCCCTGTTTGAGGAATAAAACACTGAGTGTTCCTGTGTGTTTCAAGGAAACAAACCTTTATGTTGAAGGAAAGGACGCTTCTAGTACTCCACTGGCAGCAAACGATGAAGGATTTAAATGGGGGAGAGAAGTTGCAAATACTTAAGTTTTGGGTAAAGTTTCAAACAGAGCTCATACATTATTAGATGATGGAATCTTGAGGCATACAGCTAATGCACACAGAGCTTTAGTGGTTGTTTTTAGTTTGATGGAGCAGCTATTTGGTCCTGATGCTGACTTTCCTCAGAAGTCCCAGAGGTTATTAAATGCATAAATCATGGTTTTTTTTCTGGGAGAATGACTTGGATTAAATTCTATGTATGGGGAATTAAATGAAAGTGGTGCATTTGAAGAAAAAATATTCAACTTCCACTAAACTTAAAGTAATGATGACTGTCTGTTTACAGACAGAAGATAGAGAAACCAATAGCTACTGGATGAGAACTGTTTCTTGTAGTTGATAGGATAAATAGAAAGCATCCTGTTGACTTAAGAGGAGACCAGATTTGCTTTTTTGGATTTAGGCTTTTCTTACCAGAAGCAATGTCTAATAAAGATAGAACAGAATCTGTTGTGTGTATGTATTAATAGAATCTTTTAACATTTCTGTAGAAAATGCAGCTCCAGCAAATCCAAATTCAGACTTTTCACATGCCTTAAAGTTGATGCTTTAAGACTTTCAATTTAGCACCTTCCCTTGGGTAGGGAAAAAAATCCCTTGGGAAGCCATGCAGGCTTCTTGCCAAACTGAATGTTTCCCACTTCTCAAATCTTCTCACAGACACTCTTCTGCATTAAGCTCACATTTCTCTAGTGTCCTTGCAAGTATCCTAGTAAATCTTACCGTGCCTGCAAGAAAGGCTGTAAGATCTATAATGCATAGATGATCTTCTAAATCTTATTTGCTTACTGTCCATTTTCTCTTTACTTGCTGTCTGTCTCCCAAGGGCTTTGGATGCCTTAGCAGGTAAGATACTTCAGCGTCACTCGGTGTGGTACATCTGTCACAGTTTACTTTGTCTTCACTTGGAAGAAGAGAGATGCCTATGCAGATGTTATTCAGTGATTAGTAATGTCAGAAAATAGAAAAGTAGCATGTATTATGTTGGACAGATGCTTATCCGAAGTGCAGCTGAAAAAACAGCAGTAATGGCGTGAGTTTGAGATCAGTGCAATACTGTATTTTACATGTAATTTAATATATTTTGTAGTTAGAAAAAACTCCTGTTTCTCTTGTGTTCTTTTGTTTGTTCAAATCTTTTATCAGAAAAAGCATGTTGTGAAAATATTGGGTATTTGGTATTTACTTTTGACCTTTTTTAATACCTTTAACTCGAGCAGAATGACAAGTGAAGGCTCCATTGCCTTTTCTGGCTTTTTTCTTAAATTTTTAAGATGCCTTCTCCTTTTCCATCTCCTTCCTGCCCATGCATCACATAGGTTGCAGTTCTCCACTCAAAGCTTATTTGATGTGGCAATTGCTCAAAAAATGCCTTTTGATTGTAGGTAAAACTCAAAAAGCGTATGACCTAATAACTTCAATGCATGCCTGTACAAATAGAGAATGTGTATTTCCTTGTTTACAAGTAACTTAATGTTCCCACGTCTTTTATTCCTGTTCAGTATATTATAAAAGAAAAAGATAGAATATCAAAACCATTCTACCTGGGCACAGTAAAATACAAAGCTGGAGATAAGTATGAAGAAAAGCAAATACAAAATGTTTGGTGATTATCTAGGCTTTCCTGATGGACCCAGTAAAAGATAAGTTTTCTATAAGGACTAATTCATCATTATATCTTATTATGCTAGTTTTCCCCATTTTTTTTATCAGTGGATTCCAGATGAGATTATTAAAACTTATCTCCTTGGGAACCATGCAAATTGACTTGCAGCATAAAATGTGTAGGTGATTTTATGAGGCTTATTCAAAAATTGAAATTGAAGTTAGTCTCGTGGTGCCTTATGCATAGTTATAGAGGTGAGATTGAACAAAACTGCATACCTCTGTATCCTTTCCCTTTTAGCTCCTCTACTTTTTTCCTCCTTTGTGTAAACACCTATGTATTGGTACACAGATGTACTTACAGGTGCATACAGAGGAACGACCTTTGAAAGGATACTTAGTGTTAACGTGAGGAATTTCCTTTTGAATTCAGCTGAAGTTTGCTGTAGAATACAATGGTGCAGATGCGTGTTGTTTCTCTAGAGTTTCAATCTGATACAGTATATTCTGCCTCATTTACAGAACCATGCCACTCGTTTCAGTCAGTGTCCTGCTTTAAGTCTTTAGGCACACTGCTTTTCAATGTCATTTCCAGACTGTTGTTATTACAAAAGATGGAAGAAGCAGGCTGTTAACATTCGTTGGGTATGAATGAGGTAATGGAAGTAGTGTAGATCAGTTTGTAAGCAAACATCTTGGTAGTTTTTCCTCTACTACCTGTCCCAATTGGAGAGAGTTCCATATTAACATTGAGATGTCTTTCTTCTCACTCCTTGATTTTCTTCTTTGTGATGCCTTACACTTCTGACATTGGGTAGCTTGATGCTTTGCTGAGACTGCTGCCTGTCAAACTGATGAATGTCGTCTCCCTTTCTCCTGTATTCCAACCATTTGTTTCCATCTCTGTGTTTTTGTACAGCTGGTGAAGTAATGTCATTTTGTTC